GGAACGCCACGAGCGACGTCAAAACCGGCGCAAGCAGCGGCTGCAGGAGGCGCGCATTGCGGAGCTGGAGAACGAGCGCAGCGTCAGTCCGACGCCCAGCGCAGAGGAGGCCGTGGATGAGCCCCTTATGTATATGGAGGCCAAGTGTATACCCTATGCGATCAGCGAGGCCCTGCCAGTGCCTGAGAAGAGCGCACCCGACTATGATGTCTGTGACGACGAGGCCTATGGCAGTGCCCATCAATCGCCCCGCAGCAGTGTCACCTACTGCAGCTGCGCCGGCATCTCCAGCACTGGACTTGATTCCGATTCAGCCGAGTCGGGCATTTATGGCACCTCCTCACCGACACCATCGCTGCGTCCACGCTCCCAGGCCATTAGCAAGCCCAAGCAACGCTCCACACGCTCCCGCATCATTAGCATGGTGCTCAAGCGGGAATATGCCAAGGCGCCCTCGGCGGAGACAGTGCATCATTCCGAGGACTGTGATCATCTGCTCAACAGCACCATCAAGCAACAGTATGATCGATTGTCATCGAAGTCCCGACGCGGCATCGCCTGCCCCCAGGGCTCGGCCGAGGAGCGTTTTCTAGACAAAGCCTTGCGCTATTTGACCTTGTGATTGGCATGGCTCTCGCAGTGCCTATAGCTTTAATCAATAGTTCTACTATTATACTATTATTATATATATGTATCGCTTAGATTTGTTTGCAAAACATTTTTATATTAAAATTTACGACTCAGAAAGAAATTTAAGATGGTTTTTAATAATTAGAGTAGCTCTCGGCATGAGTTTGATGGAAATGTTTAAAAAAAGGTGATTTTAGAATATTTTAGGGCCTAACTTCCTATTAAGCTATATTATATAGTAGTTCGATGCTCATCAAAAGTTGCTTATGAGTGAGCTCTACTATATACTATATGCAAAATGTGTTTTATACTAATACTTAACTTTGACCTATCGGTTATATGAAATTCTTATGCCTGGCGTGTGCAAGTTGAAATAGACAGCCCGACATGAATATATATCGACTCGACTGTTAATACTGATCAAGATTATATATATTTTGTTCATTATATTATATTCGTGAGAAAATTATATCATTTTTATTTGTTTTTGTTTATTAATATAAATTTTTAAATATTAATATTAATTTGAGTGGGAGAGAAAATAGGCGAGGCAAATACATCTCTAAATGATGAATGATCCCACGAGAATCCAGAGAGCCTTATGTATGATTCAGTGTGATTAATATGTGTGTTCTAAGTTGTTATTGTATTAGTGTAAACGTTGACTTAGTGTGGGGGGAAAGCATCATCCGACGATTTAGTCTTGGCTAACCGATGAATACAAACATTATGCCGATCAGTAATTCTAAAGAAAATATAATACATTATAAACAAAAACCTCAAAGCACACTCACACACACACTCACATTTATTGAATATAGAGTTTCTATTTTTTTTTAAATACTCTATTTTACTTATAATTTATTTGCATTTGATAATCCACTAACTTATCCTTTTTCCCGTCTGTTCATTATGATTGTCTCTTCCCTGATGTGCACTTCCCTTTGTTAATTCTCTATTCAGATACTTATTGGGCGACCCAGTGACACGGTTGTCGACTGGCAGCTGGCTGCATCATCTCGATAATCTGCTTCAGTTTAACAGGCTGTCAACTGCTGGTAACCTGGTCTAAATATAGACGAACTGTTGACACCCTGCCGCTGCCACCGCGAGGCAGCTGTCAGTTGTCAAGTGTGAAGACAAGCATACACCATGAGCATACACGTGTGAGTGTGCGTGTGTGTGCGTGTGTGTTGTTGTGGTTGTACTTGAACAAGCCGCCTGTTGCTGGCGCTTTGTGTTTATCAACTTGCACAGGGTGACTCGAGGCACAGGGCATTTCGATGCCTGCATCCTGTTGCTATAAAAGTAAAGCTTGCCGCTGTTGCGTTCGCTTTGTTTTGGTCATGCGCCAAAGCTGCCATAAAAACGGTTACAACTGCTTTTGGCTTTGGCTTTGGTTTTCGTTTGGCCTCAACTCAGTATCTATCACAAATTCAAAAGCGTAGCATACATCTCTGTGCCGGAAATGGCAAACGTAGTGTAGCGCGTAGTGTGTGCGTGTGTGCGTGTGTGTGTTGCTGTTTTGTGTGTTGCATGTCGCGCGCGTCATGTTTGCCCAAGTAAAAGCCAAATTTAATTAATTCATTTAGCCTAAGCGCGACTCGCACACAGACAGCGAAACCCTAAAAGTGCTCAAAAACGCATTTACCAACCAGCGCCCCTCCCCGCTGGCCAGTGCATGCCCCCTCCCTCTACTTATAACTTAGTGCTCGCTGTGTTCCCTTGACAATAAAATATGAATTGATGCGCGCGCTGCGCCATAGTATCCTCCACATCCTTATATATATAAACGGGCGTATGTATTGGTGTATCGTGCGTTCGACAGAATTATATTCTTTTTCGTTTCTGCGTTTTTGCATGTCAACGTTTTTTTTTAAGGTCAACTCGCGGCTGCGTTTGGGGCGCGCGTTCAACCAAAAATGTAATCAACCAAGCGCCAAAGTTATAAAAATAAATTTTGAAACACATTTCTATCTACATAGAGAGAGTTTCTGGTTTTTTGGGGTGTGCCTATTTTATGGCTTGCAGTTTCGCCTCTGTGTGTGTGTGTGTGTAGTAAGTGAGCTTGCGTGTGTTTCTGTGGGTGCTTTTATTGACTTCCTTTTTTTTTCTTTTGCATGGCTGTATGTGTGCGTGCTAATTGAGTTTTGTCATATATGTGTGTGCGTGCGTGTGTGTGTGTGTGTGTGTGTCAGTTTTATACAATTTCTTAACCAAACAATGCATTGTGTTTTCTATCAAAATTCAAAAATCTAAAACATACAGCAACAAAAAAAAACTATAAATATTCTATATACCATACAGTAACAACAATATGCTGCAATACGATCAGGTAATTGTTAGTGCGATAATCGAGTTTATCATTTACATCATTTACATCAGCGTCAAATCCGGCTGCCGGCATCTAGAACATGACCCACATTGCACAAGCTGCTGCTGTCACCTAACCGCCTGCTGCTGCAACCACTAAACCACTGCACCACTTTCAATGGACGCTTCAATTGCAGTGGCAAGCGGCACGGCAACTGTCGATGTTGTCGCTCGTTGCACACGGCAACAACTGACGACAGCAGCGCCTCCCAACGCCATCTGACTGCCCGTCCCGCCCCGCTCCGCCCCGCCCCTCCTCCTGCCCGCCTTTGTAGCCGCTGAAGTGCCTTGGCATACGTGTATGACGACTGTGATTAACTTTTGTCTGTCTTTTGTTTTTCTGTCTGTCTCAGGTTTTACAACACTTGCCTCTGCCCCTTGCCATGCCCCCCCCCCCCTCGCTCTCACTCTCGTTCTTTCTCTGCGGCTGTGCGCTTTTGTCGTTTACACTGCGCTACAGCCAAGGCAAAATGTTAGTAGCCCAGCATTGTTTACACTTGGGATGCTAACTCAAGTTTTTGCTATGCACTTGAAATCTTTTATTAAGCACTTGCCTTGAGAGTCAGCAAGTGTGTGTACGACTAGTTGTGTGTGTGTGTGTGTGTGTGTGTGTGTGGCAGGTTGAGCAAGAGACTTAGACGCAGTCCAAAGTCACCCAACTTAAATATCAAAGAACTGCCTATATATAACTTGCTTAACCTTATTATTCCTACTACAACAAGGCCAAAATTATTAAATTATTAATATAAGTAAAGAATTTAGTTACAATCATCATATTCATTATATGAATACTAAAATGTATTGCAATATTTCTTAAATATTATTCACATGGTAATTCTATCAATAAATGTACCATTAATTCCTCTTAACTCTGAGATGACATTTTTCCTTCACCAATCAGACGACACTTTTTGAAAGTCTGAAGTCACCTTTCTTTATCTTTATATGCTGCATAGAGAATTAGTTTAAAACACGACTACAAAAACTACATAATATATAGTTTATCCTCTAAACAAATGTATTTCCTTCTTATCAGCTTGGCTTTGAGCTTTTTAATTGAAAAACATCAATTTATAAAATAGTAAATCTGTTCGAAATCTTTGAGGTGACAAAAAAAGGAAGGTCTCTACTGCATAATCTGTTTCATAAGTTTTTCACTTGTCACCTCAAGGCCTGCTCCGGACCTGACCCAATGCGCTATTTATCACAGGACATTCTTCAGATTTTGCAACTCCCCCCGCATAACCTAGAAATGTCGCAGAAAAAGTTTTGTGTAGTTTTTTGTTTTCTTTTTGCATTGCAGCTGGCTCGGCTACTCTCTTAAGTCCAGCATCAGATTGACACAATGCCCAAAAACAAACAAAAGCGAAAAGTTTGCCTTAAGTTATCGAAAACTTTTCGCTTTGCTGACTCATCGCAATGGCCCACACACTAAGACCCAGAGAAAGGAAAATTATATCATTCAAGTGTCCGCGCTTATGCACACGCAATAAATCATGTCGATGGGAGGATGAACACATCCAATCTCAGCTGGCATTAGGCGCCCAGGGTTGGCAATCTATGAAAACCGCTTCGACAAAAGACAATCGCGAAACCTGTTGACAGTCCGAGCTTGCTCCAATAAACTTGTTTAGAGTATTAAAGGTCAAATCAGACGTGAAAGTAATGCTAAATATATGAGCGGAGTTCATAGATAATCGAATTCTATGATAATAAAGTAGTCTGGCGTTAAAACACATCCAAATCTATAATACAGCCCCTGGAATTAGGATCTATTTGAAACAATTTCAATTAACCTCGAACCTTGGAACCAAGGAACTTAAATTATAGTTGATTAACGCCTGGCCAATAAGTTCGTGTTTCAATAACCATTTAGTCATATGATAAATATAAGACCTGTGTTACCTCCTCTTAAATTAAGTACAAGCTTAACAATTGACTATTCATTACTAATCTATTTCCATTTCTTCCGCTCTCTCTCTCTCTCTTTGATACAGCCACCTGAGAATGAGCTACAGAAATCGCACGATCACAATCCGGCCGCACTGAGCGAGCATCAATTGCGAGTGCAGGCATCGCTGCAGCGCCTGAATATACCCGACTGGTTTCGACAATACAATCAAAATGCAGCACGGTCGCCAGATGGCGCCGGCGCCGGCGTCGGTGCCGGCAACGCTGGCCCAGCGTCCTCTGGCGGCTACAAGCCGGGCAATTTTACGCGCAAGCGCACACAGGACTCGGGTCGCTGGCAGGGCCTTAACTCGAAGACGACTTCGCTCAGTTCGCTGGGCTCGCAGCGCTCTGATCGTAGTCCCCTGCTGTTGAGTCCCTCGGCGCACAGTCATCATGGCGGCCAGAGCAGCAGCGTCAGCGGCTCGGCGTCGGCACATCAGGCCCATGGCCAGGGCGTTGGCGCCACACGCTGGTCCACCTCGCATCTGAACTCCACGCAAACATCGCCGAGCGTCTCGCAGCGCGGCAGCTTTGCCCGCGGCGCGCCCATCAACAGCAGCTTCATGTCCGTGGCCAGCGGCAGCAGCGCCGGCGCACCCGGCGGTGTCCTGAGGAACTCCTATCGTCAGCCCTATCTGGGCTGGCGCAGCACTGAGAAGCTCTCGCAGCGCACGCCCCACGAACGGTAAGTCCCTAACTGACTTTATTATTTGTCCATATCTAATATGCTGTTGCCTCTTGCATTTAAGGCTGGCCAACTCGCTGCTGGCGCAACGCACATCGCCCACAACGGCGACGCCGACGAACGGTGTGCGAAGGCTGCAGCCCGTGACGCCGGAGATACAGAGCTCCATCAAGGAGGTGACCTCGGCCATAGTGCATTATGTGAACGATCAGACGCAGGCGCAGGCACAGCTGCAGCAACAGCGCAGCCGCTCGACGAGTCCCAATTCGAGGTAGGCAACGGATCGGGCACGAAACAAATTGAATATGAGAACAAAAAGAGAACCGTTGCAGCCCACACACAAAATATTTATAGAGTGTTCAAGTTGTCGTAGTTGTCGCCTACCCCTACTGCCTATCCAATCTGTGTGTAGCTGTTGTTACCAACTGTTTGATCATATGTTCCATGAAAATCTCAGTTCATATCTTTATACCACACACACCTCACTAAAAACACATCATTTTCATTATTTCCTACCACTACAAAATTTTCATTTCTCTTCGGCAATACTACACAACGCGTAGCTACCTGTAAAAGTCCAACCACAGCACCAACTGCAGCACTCAGAGTCGGTTTGGTCAGTCGGTTAGCTGACTGCCACGCCCTCAGCGATGTCCAGAGGTAAGCAGGCTCCAGATACCATATTTGGGCAATGTCATCCTCCTCATCGTCTCAGCGTCTCCTTCATGTGGCTAACCTGTGACTAATTTTCGTGCTATTCTACATGTGTTACTTACACCAAATATTCTATTATATCTGTGCTGGTTTCTACTAAAAACACTAAAAAAACAACGACTAAACAAAACTCTTCACCTTAAAACTTAAACGGGCACAAAGTGCTTGGATTTTTGCCAATTTCAAGTCACATTTGGGTCAGGTCAATTCTTATGCTTGGCAAAGAGTAGATAGGATGCTTAGGATTTTTAACTATATTTATGAGGAATTTTAATTCTGTTGAACCTATTTTCGGTTTCGGTTTCGGACTATTAAATTAAATTTTTGTTTACTTACATGAGTATAATATATAAGTTCTTAATGAATTCTGCAGAAGAGCTGTTGAAAAAGTTGAATTAGGTGAACCTTTGTTAGTTTAGATTATTGTTTTAGAAAGGAAAACTCTTTCTCCTGCGAAGTATAATTATGTATTTATTTTTTTTTTGTCAAAATCATGCCTAAATAATTTCTCAGATAAATATGAAAAGAAGCAGACTTTTAATATACATTTTCATTTTCTTATTGCAATCTTTGTGTAAAGATTCTAATCAAGTTTGCATATTTGTTTCCTTTATGTAAACTAAATCTTTTCAATACTTAAATTCTTTTTTTATTTATTGCATTAAAAATGCACACACATGAAGTAAGAAATTTTAAGATATTCTAACTAAATTCTACTCTACTTTAAAAGTGGACTTTCACTTAGCAATCCCTGTTCTTTTTCCTTCACGTAGTTAGTATTTGTTTAAGCCACACATCTCTATAATTATACTTTGCTTTGTCCACAAATACAAATATTACGTAACCCGGGTGGGTTTAGTTATTATTGCTAATACAATATGATATCAGAGTCAACCTTTATTATTATTTCCACATATTAATAACATTTGCCCAACACAATAACTCGTTCAATCTGCTGCACATTGTGGCAATCACAGAATCGAAACCACTTGCCACATTATGAGCATAAATCATGTGAGATTTACCCTATCAATATTTACACAATGGCATTCAAATCGAAATTGATTCCATTTCGCTTTCATGTTGAATCTGACAGTCTGTGCGATGTCAGCGCAAACTGTCCCTTGTCCCTATTAATAAGGCTCGAGGCGAGGCAAAACGAGGCCTCGCCCCAAACGTCGCATGCAATTTAAATGTCAACAATGCAGCTGTCGGGCCCTGTCTATATTGTGTGGCTACCTATTCTAGGATATGTCCCTTCCAGCTCCCAATACCTGTGCACCATCAGCGAGCGCCACTTGTCCACGTTTCGAGTGGAGCTCACTTGGCCCCAAGCTAGCATTATGAAAATCAATATTATTAAAGTAGAGCAACTCACAGACAGGCTGCTACAATGCCAAGCTGTTTTCTTATGGCAAATGGGTCAACGAGGTAATGCTGTCTATCTGTATGAAACAGCCGAGCAGACTTTGGTAGTGTATCTATCGGGTCGAGTGGGGTCCGTTTAATTGAGTTACATTTGCCAAAAAAGAAAATGTATAAAAAATATATAACATGTCCGTGCTGAGGAATTGGAATTGTTTGACAAAAAGATTTTATGCTATATCAAGAAATCCATAAATATTATAAGTAAGAGTTAGAAGCTTGTATAAATTTATAAATTTGATTCACAACCAATCACATTAGAAATCTGAAATAAGCTCACAAAATATGTCAAGTGATAAATATTTAATAGGAAAAACTGAAATTGAAATGAGCTCAAATTGCATGTTTATAGAAAAGGCCAATGTTACGCTTATTAGGGTTATTTTACCATTAGATTATTCTAAAACGGTACCTTCTCTTCACGAAGAGCATCAAAGTGTGCTACTTAAGGAACTCCGAAAAATTGTTGACTGTTTTGTCTGTAATCAGGCCGACAGCCAGGCGCCCGAGTCGCCCCCTTTGCGAAATAGCCGCAGCAACCCTCCACAGCAGCCAAAGTGGCGTGTGCATCTCTTTCGCACACACACAAACCCCAACCCAGCCAAAAGGGAAAAAGCCACCTCTTTTATGCTCTCGATCCCACAATTTGGCTTTGCCAATGCTGTGTGTTCACATCCATTCGACGTTTCATTCGTGTGCCACGTCTGCTGCCTGACGCTACGCAAAGAGCGCTGCGCACTGAAATATTTATAAGAAATCGAAAGTAAAAATAATTACATAAATATTGTGAGTAGTCCAAGCAGAGCTTTAAATAGTATAGCATAGTTAAAACCAGTTTTTTGTGTGGCCAATTGAAATGTGGGCCAACAATATGCAAAGAGTTGTCTGAGGTTAGTGCCATGTTGCCACTGCCACAAGTGCAGGCGGGTCCAGTTGAGTCACAGCTGCTGTGACGTCACTTATTGATTTTACTAGCCTGGTGTTTGTTGTTGTTACCCTTGGCTATAACGCTATCGAGAACGTTGACTAATCTGTGCTCTCGAATTCCACAGAAAGTGCTGGCTTGAAAGCAGCTTTGTTGGCACACGTCCGCTGGATTCACCGCAAACGCCCGTCATTGACAGCAGCAGCAGCCCGCCCGCAACCCAACACCAACACCAGCAGCACCAGCAGCAGCAGCAGCCGCATCAACACCTGCAACAGCTACACCTGGATGCCACATCGGCGCTTGCCGTTGGACAGCCGCCACTACGCATGAACGGACTTAGCCGGGTCGGCGGCGGTGGCGGTGAGTCCACCATATATATTTGACCAGCTGGCGTGCTTAGATTTTATCTAGTTTATATCCATTTGATTTGTTTTATTTCAAGAACAAAAATTGATATCACAAATTTGTTTTCTAATGTGCACAAAAATCACCAATGCGAAATGCTTAAATATATGTGCTACACATATGTCACATATGTATTGTAGCTAAGCGTACATATTTTTAATATGTAGCTGAAACCCTTATGATTTCTTAGACGCACACACACACACACACACACATACGCAAATGTAGCTTGAAATGCAATTTTCTACATTTGTTTTATTTTATCGTAACAAAGAAATTGAATTAGGTGCAAAGTGCAAATGCATTTTAGGCTACTTTTCTGTTTTAACGATTGTAAATTACGAGCAACTGCAAATAGAGAGAACAACATTTACACGCATTCATTTTAAATTGACCAACTTTTTGATTTTGTATATCAAATGCAAACGTACATGAGTAATTTTTAGTGTTTACAAAACCTATTTTAATAAATTTACTATTTAATTTTTATGATTAATTTTTAATAAACACACAGCTATGGCATACAGTTAATTATTATTGTATTATTATTATTATTATTATTAATATTATTGTCATAATCCGCATTATAATTATTATTATCATTATTATGATTATAACTATTATTATTGTACTCGTCCCTCCTTGTCACATCATTTGATGCAATTCAATTGTTTATAGCATACTTATCTGCGCATAAGTTTGTTATGATTCTCATTGGCATAACTCATTTGAAATTCAGCTCAAAATTCGCATGCACAACCCAAACATCAATTCGTCATTTGGAATTTTCAATTTTAGGCTTGGTTTTTAAAATTAGAAAAATTCACGTACCTAACCCACAAAACATAAAACAGACTTTCTTTTAACAACATAGCGTGCTATAAATTTGATTTCTTTTTATTATATATTTATACAATGATGTATTATCATTTAAATGCAACGAACGATTCGAAGAGATTTCTATTTCGATCACATACTTGTCTGGGTATATAATTTTTGTAAAAATTATTATAATTTATATAAAAGAAAAATGATATGATATCGAAGTGCTTTATATACGACTACAAAGCGGGCACAGCCCTCGCTAATGGTGGCTACAATAAAAACTAAACTATATTTTATACAAAACATGTTTATAATTTTGTAGTTTATGAATTGTGTTTACTTCTTATTGTGATTTGTTTTTAGCTAAAGTAGAGAGTAGAATTTTCTTAGCTACCCATTGCTCTTTAAGTGTGCTTAATACTCACCTTACGCTTGTGTACATAAAACATTTTCTCAGTGTAATTTTTAAATAATTGTAATTCTTAATAATTCACTTCGTTCGAACATATATTTATGTAATACCCCAATATTTAGTTATAAGAACATTTAATGCGCTAAACATTTTTTTTCAAGCCTAACAACTATTTGTTTTTGTATTCTTATATTTTGTGCTGTGCATTATTATCCAAAAAAAATTAATTTAAAAAAAAAATACTTTATAAAATTGGGCACACTGAAAAAAAAAAAACAAAACAAATTGCATCTAAAGCGCCTGAACGCTCGCTGAGCAGCGCATCGCTAGAAGATGTCTTAGCCTCACTTTTAGGACTGCCAGCTACCTCCTCCTCCAACAGCCACAACACCAACAGCAACAACAACAGAAATCAAGCGGCAGCGGCGATCAATCCAGGGTCCTCGACGACAGGTATGAACCTGTAAGTTTTTGTTCCAATATAACCGCTACCCAAATCAAAAAACAAAAAAAAAAAATAAGAAAACAATAAGATAACAACAAAAATATGTTTTTAAAATGATATAAAAACTAAAAAGAGATATAAAATTAAAAATGGGTATAGGCAAAAACTAAACTTCCGTTCTTGTTTGTTGTTCGCATATAAAGCTCTATATATACTCCCATATAACTATATACAATACTTAATCTATAACTCAGCTCTAATCTATGTCAATGATGAATTTTATTTTTATAAAGTCCTTCGAAATCCTAATCTTTTTTGTAGTTTTGTTATTGATTCATTACTTTCAAATACTCTTTCATCAATCGCATATCTAGTGTTCTAGCTTAGACATTTTACTTTCGTTGTTATTTTCGAAATTACACTGAGAAAAATACATAACATACATATATAAAGAAAGCAAAGTTGCGCTGCGCTTGCGTCGTTTTGCAACACTGAAACACTCCTCTCCCCATAATAGCGTAGCATGCGAGTGCCCTTTATAAGACAAGCAGAAACCTCTCCCATTGAATGCTCATTGTTGTTGTTGTTATTTGTTATATGTTATATTAGCAGTTATACGCCTGCTGACTAATCTGTTATACGCACTTATATTCCACAGCAGATTCAGCTAGTCGCTGTCAGCAGCTAGAGGTGCTGACGGCAGCGGAGCAGCAGCTACTGCGCCGTCGCAGCGAGGGTGACGCGCCCAGCCAGAAGCAGAAGCAGCTTAATCAGTCTCAATCCCAAACACAGACACAAACCCAATCCCAGAGCCAGTCCCAGTCCCAGTCGCAATCACAGTCACAGGTGCAGAGCCAGAGCAATGCCAGTAATCGGCGCGTATCGCTGGGCGACTCCAACAGCCACGCCCACGCGGCGGACAAGGGCAACAGCAACAGCATCAACAATGGCGGCCTCTATGGAGCTGCCGGCGAGCAACAGCTGCAGATCAGGTGTCGCAACACCAAGTGCGAGGCCAGCGCCACGCCCGCCGATGCCAAGAAGCTGTACAAGTCATGCCACAATTGTACCCATTTATATTGTTCACGTGAGTGTAGGCGCGCCCACTGGGAGAAGCATCGGAAGGCGTGCCTGCATTCGCGCGCCTCCAATTTGTGCCGCCAGGTGTTAGCCACCTGCAAGGATGACGTCGACTCGCAGCGCCATCTCAGCCTGTTGGCCCGCAAGGGCAGCCTCTCTCAGGGCCGTGGCGTGGTGCGTGTGCTCTTCCGTAGCGCCGAGGCCGCCGAAGGCTTCATCAAGCATGGATTTCAGTGCATGGGCGAGGCATCCTATGTACGCTGGCCAGATCTGATGCCAGCCGAAATGGGTCTGGAACTGTACTCGGAGCTGCTGAAACTAAGCACTGAATACAAGCCCGAGTCCAAGATGCTCATTTATGTGGCCATTTGCGTGGTCTCCGAGGCACCGGGCATGGGTCAGGCACCGGTGCGCTGGGAGCGCCAGCTAGTGTCACGCTGTGCCAAGCTGAAGCTGTGCAAGACCGTGCTCGCCGAGCTGGAGCTGCAGCAGCAAGCTCTACAGCAGCCACTCGCCGTCATGGCCGTGCCGGAGCGCACCGAGATACTCATACTCACCTTCAATCCGGGCTTGCGCACCGCGCCCGGCAATCGGGAGCTTATATTGTCCAACATTTTGGACATACTCTCACGGCGTGGAGTGCTGCTGCGCAAACACTATCCGGAGATCTATCAGCGCCTGCAGACCTACACGGAGGGCCAGACGGACAAGTTCAATCCGGTTACGCTGCACCCGCGCGACTCCCAGACGGGCCAGAGTTTCGTGTGCATCATCATGCCCGTGCACACGGACAGCGAGTTCATCAAACTGCCATCGGCAGCGGATGGTGGCGGGAACCGTGTGACCACCATCGATGTCGGCTCGCCGGCAGCTCTCGCCCAGCTGGACGACGATGAGCTCCTCACGCGCACCAGCCCAGCGAGTTGATTGAAGGCGACAAGCAACAGCAGCAGCAGCACCACCTGCAGCAGGCAGAGGCGTAGCGGCAGCAGCGGCAGTGCCACGCCCCCTCATAACCTGCACGCATATAACGATGCCCTGGGCTGTGGCCTGGAGAGCACGCGCATGTGAGCAACAACAACAACAACAACTCGACCGCTTCCAGATCTTGCTCTTGATTAATATTTAAGTCTCTCTAACCAGTTGCTTCTATTGTTCTGTACTCTAAATATTCAAGTTAGTTAGTCGGCTCTCCTCTGTTCAAATTAGCTAGTTAGCTAGTGGACGTGTTAGCACTTGTGTGGCATCTGCCACAACTCCATATATCAGTAGTTCGTCCCCTCCCTCCACCACAAAAAAAAAACACTCGTTGTATGGTACACCAAGAATCTAATCTAGGCTGAAACTCTTCAAATTATCGAAAACTATAATTTGGAGGGAGGACTAAAACAGAAAACCAAACATCTAACTTTGAATACTAACACGATAATAAGTCAAGCTTTACTAAAATGCAATATCTCTGAGCTTACAAGTGGCAGCATATTTGAGTGACACGTGCAAGAGCTACACGCTATATAACTGAAATGTAAGGCAAAACACAGTGGGATCCAAAATGAAATGGATATCACTGCAAGTAGCCTCAGTCCTTTATATGTATCCTGCAGCTTCCAAATAATGAGACAGAAACTAACACTTTGACGATTATATTATACAATAATAACTCGAGCAACAGTCGTAGCATAAGGACCCACATATGTTTTTTTTTTTGGGTACTAAGCAAACACAAAACTATTTCCTATATAAGCTGCGGCGCAACTCGATGCATAACCTCACTTTTTATAATGCAAAGTCACATTGACACCTCATTGACAAAACATATAAAAACAACTAACTACAAATACTTAAGTAACTATATACATACTTATATCTTCTTCTATATGTGTTAAACGTAACAAAAGCAAATTGTTTGCTATGGCCTTATTTAAAGTTTGTTGAATTTGTTCTGCCCATCCAAAACGTAACATTTCGTAGCCTTTTAAATTAGGTTTTTAATTTATGTGTAAGTCAAATGCAAGTCTAGGTTAGCTTAAATATACCCATTAGTAAATTTTGTGTACTAAATACTAGAGTTGAAAATCAAAAAACTAAAAAAAATGCCCAATAATCAATTTTGAAATTCGCTTTAAACATAGCTAAAATAAATATTTAGATCTGTAACTTCCCCCATTTACCTTTGCTAGTTCAAATTGCTTAACAAACACCACAGTTTATACATTTTTGTGTAAATAATACAAATGCAACCAACATAACATACATACATACATATACTCATATATGCAGAAATGTTCTCAAAAATATAATGAGTTCTGTAAGTTTTTTAGTACTTGTGGGAAGGACTTGAAAAACAATAAATAAACTGCATTAAACACTATTGAAATTAAATAAAACTCATATACGTATGTTATATTTATATATGTATGTCTGCTTTTCTAAGAATTTTCAGCCCTTAGATTACTCATGAGATGTTTGTTGATCGAGACTTGCGGTGCGAGGTTCGTATCCCGGCAGCGACAACAATTCAAAAAGTAGGGGGCAGCATTGTAAGTTGAATTAAAATGCCTTGATCCAGACTTGGGGCCAAGGTTCTCGACTACAGGACGCGGTAAAAATTAAATAGAAATAACATTGGGAAAGCATTGTTGTAAGCTTACTTAGACTGCATTAGTTTAGACTCTTAGTTCGAGGTTCGAGTCCAGGCCGAGATAACAAAAAGAAAAAGGAAAGTATTGTAAACTGAAAGAAGAGAAACGACTACTTTAAATACCTTCTTCTTTCTTTGTATTAATAGTAATAGTGTGGCGTCGGTGGTGTTGCGGTGGGAGTAATGATGAGCTTGGGGGAGACAGTATTAGGCTCGGGTTCGATTCCGCGCATCGGAAGCATATTTTTGTTATAAAAGAATATGAAAAATGTCCGATATGAATAAAATTAAATGCTACGCCAGTAAGTTCCATCGGTGGTTCAATGGATGTGTGCTTGGCAAAAGTTTACAAATGATTAAATGTATGGAGAGGATCGAGCCTCATCACAAACCAGTAAGTATTATTGAATTTTCATCTTCTTCATCCTTTGTGTTGTTCCGTGTATAATTTATGTATATGCTTTCCCCGCGGCGCCCCCGACCCTCGAAGAATTCGTTCTCCCCTCCTTCAAACCTTTCCCATCTCTTCAAGAATTGGTATCTTGTTGTAACGTCCAGGGGGGGATATATAATATAACAATGTAATATAACATTCACATATACTATACTATACATATTACATCATGCGATTATAAATATCTTTGACAGTAAAGTTATATTCTCTCATGCTCTCTCTCAGGTTAGCAAATATGAAAGTGGTGGTGTTGTGTGTTCTCTCCTCTCTCTCTCAACATTACCATATTTCATTCACTTTACACGTACACGTCAATAAATTGAAAGAGGGAGAGGGGGGGAGAATCGTTTCGCTACTACCTACCGCCAACCACTCACCACCAACCCATCAACATACTCAATTCTTCCAATACACCACACACGCACAAACACACACACCACTGGGCGTAATAATAAAAAAATTAGTGTTTCGTTTTTTTTTATATTCACGGATGTGTGTAGGTGAAGTTAAATTTCGCTTATTTATTTTTCATGCTGCTTAAAATGCTCATAATCAGCTCAGCCCTATCAACGATCCACACTCTCTAAGTATCACCAGTGGTGATTCACCACAGCTCAAAAATCAAAGAAACACAATGATTTTGATTTCCTTTTGCCGATTTATCAAACTTGTCCTTATTTTTAAGAATAAGCATTCGTTTCAAGAATAGTCCTTTTAATGTTTCATTTAATAGGATATTTCAAGAATAGTCCTTTAATGTTTCATTTAATAGGATATTTCCCATTACGAACTTGCGTTAGAACGAATGCATTTAAACAGGGATATCGCTGGGCCAAAGGAGATCTAAATCACCATGATACTTTTGGAATTATGAAGCATTTTGTGTTTTAGAACCATTTGTGGACGATATTTTATGTAAATCCCTTAAAAGAAAGGCCCTATCTAAGCGTAATGCTTTACAATCACGAACAAGTTTTAAATTATTCAAATATGATTTATTTATTAAAGTTATAATTGTTTTGTGTAATACTTATTTAGATTTACATAAATTGTATTTAAAATGTTTGTTTTTATCTTCTTATCGCTAGTATTGTTTATAAACGAATTAATGTACTACCCATATATATACATATACATTTGCCGATCGATGCCGATGTATATTATGTATATGATACATGCCTGCGCAGATTCTTACGTATTTGCTGTTCATGCGGTTAACGCGCCCCTCGCTTATAAATCCGTGTAAATTACAACTACAATTTGTATACGGAAATAGACTATAACACTTAAATGTACCACATATTGCGCCGTATCTATGTTACAATCTATGAATAAATTAGGTTCGATTCGTTTTGTTAGTTTAACGTAAAAAAGCGTTTTTGGCGGCACCCCTTCGAGTGCCCCAAGCCCAATTAATAGAGCCCTACATGAACTACGATATTAAAAAAAAAATAATGATCATAATATGAAACATTAATGGTGCCTAGCTGATAATGGTGATGATGACGATGCTCCTCTGTCTCGATGATGTATGTACAGGCGCCAGCTTAATAGTCTGATCTAGCACTAAAGGCGGCGCTCTGCTGGGGCTGCTCTTCCTGTCGTTGTTGCTCCTGATAGTAGTAGCCTGAATAGGGCTGCGCTGGAAATGTGCCTGTGCTTCCGCCCGTTTCCTGGCTTGCGCCCGATCCCGATTGATAGGCTACCGCCGCTGCCGTAGTCGTCGCTGTATTGGTCGTCTTGGCATTGGCATTGGTTGCTCTTATCTATAAACCACCAATTATGACCTCCTGCTGTGCATCGTCATCCATGTCGGGCAGCTCTTGCTTGTGCACGACCATACCATCACCGGCAGGCTGCCTGGGCGCCGTTTGTCCATACTTTTGATGTATACCACGATGACGTTTCAGCGCAAAACGATCGGCAAACGCTGCCGAGCATATCTCACATTTGTAAGGCTTCTCGCCGGAGTGCACCTTGGCGTGGTTCTTCAGATGAGCCGCCTGTGAAAAAGCCGAGCCGCATATTTCACACTTGTAAGGCTTCTCGCCGGTGTGTATGCGGCGGTGGTTCCACAGGGTAGCATGGCGCGCAAATCCCTTATCGCACACCCCGCAAACATATGGACGCTCGCCGCTGTGCGTCCGCTCGTGGTTCTTCAGATGCGGCGATTGTGAAAATTGCATGCCGCACGTTTGACATCTGCACAAGTATAAACAAATTATTAATAGGAAATCTTGGATACCACTTGATACACCTACTTGTAAGGCTTTTCGCCAGTGTGTATGCGCGCATGATTTTTTAGGTAGACAGCCTTGGCAAATGCCAATCCGCAGATGGTGCACTTGTAGTTTTTCTCGCCACTGTGCAGCTTCTTGTGTGACCACAGGCTGGAGTAGCGTGAAAAGAGCCCACCGCATATGTTACAGCTGAACGGTTTACTGGGATTTCTATAAATAAATAAAGTCATAAATTCAGTTCGAAGATTTCTTGGCTTTTGCGCCTTTTTTTTTTTTGTTTGTTAACTCACTCGGTCTTGACGGTGACCGTATTTTGTTTGACAGAGCCGCCGGCGCCACCATGCTGGTGTGTGTGCTGTTGACCCATGAGTACCACGCCGGATCCATTGCACTTTTGACACTTGGTCATCTGTTGGGTGTTGCGCTTTTTCACAGGATGATGACCCGACGAGCTGGGCTCACGCTTAGGCGTTGTGCCGCCGGTTTGTTGGGCCACAATTTGCTGAAGTTGAGCCTGCGCTTGTGGTGTGGTTGATATGATTTGCACAGGATGCGCCATTTGGCCTGTTAAAAGAGATAAACATCGGGTTAATAATAATACCAAATAAGTGTATTTCAGCAATTACCATCGGGTGCTACAAATATTTGTTGCTGCTGCGCCGCTTGCTCCGCCTGCATGCAGGACTCGCAGCGCACCTGCTTGGGCCCCTTGCGCTTTGACTGATGCAGTATGGGATTGCCGCAATTAATGCACTTGCTCGACTTGGAGTTATCATGTTGCTGTTGCTGCTGCTGTTGTTGTTGCTGTGCCGCCTGCTGTTGTTGCTGCTGCTGCTGTTGCTGCATTACGGATTGCTGCACTGGCTCCAACGTATCGGAAGCCACAATTTGAATCTGACCCATCTGCCCATTGCCGGTGATAATGTTCTGCGTCTGCACCAGGCCCTGAGCATTGACCACTGCTATGGCATCTGATGATTGCTGTGAATTGTGCTGTTGCGGATCCGTGCCGTCGGTGTGCATCCGCTTGTGAGCATTAAGCAGCGCCAGATGCTGAAACATCTCCGAACAGACATCGCACTTGAAGCTGATGTTTGATATTGTGTTTTGCAGTGGTGAAATAGTCTGTAGAGAGAAGCGTAAGCATATTACAAAACTGACTATTCGGTAGCAAAAATGCTGAGTGATATTTGATAATATATTTTGCGCAATCAAAATTGTTCCTGTCTATGCAGCGTTCATTAAAACACGAAATTAGCAATAATTTTGTTAATGCAAAGTAGGCGAAGCCTTTACGAATTCATATTTGAGATATATACTTCAATGGAAATGGAGCAAACTTTCATTAGGGACAGTTTTTGCATTGAGCTCACCTCACAAATAATTTTGGTAATTGAGCTTTGCGAACATAATTTACTTTTTTGAATTGACATTTGAAATTCAGCCACATTTTGCTAACTGTTTCCTAAATAACCCTGTTAGGGTGTGCTTACCGCCGCAATGGGCTTATTTTGATTGACAATCTGTATGCGTCCCTGTGCATCCACAGTGGCTATTCCCAGAGCGGTGCCCTGATTCAGTGGCATTCCGTTGACCAAGGCGTAGTTGTAGCCGCCCACTGGCTGTGCGATGTAACACGTCTTATTGTCGTCTGAGGTGGCCAACTGTGCTAAGTTCACAGTGCCCGCATTGCCCTGTAAATGAAAAGAACACAAAACGCATTTTAAAATTTACGGATCATTGAACCGGGCGACGCCGCGCACTCACATTTGTTGTATAGTAAAAGGTGGGCTGCTGGTCGGTCTTTTGGCCCTCTATTTTGGGTTGTTTGAGTATGGTGCCGTCTGCTGTTTGATATTGTATGGTTGCTGGCTGGCCGTTAATAGCGTTTGTGAATATTATGTTTTTGGTGAGGTCTTCCATTGTGCGCGCAAGTC